AACGGGTATTCAAACTAATAGTAGATATAATTATATATTATAGTAAAAATAAGAGTAATATAATTTAAAACTGTAATTTAATTTCATTAAATGTAATTCTAGATTGATATATTTTATATTATTATGACTAGATGAGAATAGATTCGTTTTGAGGATGTTTAAAAGTGTACATTTATAATGTAAGAGATAATTTTTTCATATTTGATTGTAAGAAACTTTATTAAAGATGTCCTGTAACCGGAAACGAAATCTATTTATATTAGATTCTGTTAAAATTCATATATAGGCTTATATAAATAAAATTAAATCAGATCAGTTTGGTTAGACATGGATTTAGTAATGATGGAAATATTTTTGAATTAATAAGTTTCGAATGAATATATTTACGAAATGTAAATTACTGTTGATAAAATATAACTCAATATTTTAAATTTTTATATTAATTTAAAAGCGAGATCTATTATTGAATAACTTTCTATGCAAAGTAAACACTGCTAAGTCATTCTTCTTGAGCATCATCTTCAAAAGGGATTTTTCTTATCCTGTCTTTGTAGTCTCACACTTTGTTGTAAAGACTATCTGTGACGTCATCTAGAATTTTTATGATGAACCCAGATGACGTTCTTTCAAGATGGTTCCAGATGTTAATGTATGCACCCTAGATAGATAAAACTAGGCCCAACTTAATATTACAAGCTATTAACTTTAACTTCTCGCTATATGTAAGCTATACAAGATAGTATCAGAAAACATTGTCTCCAACATAAACCTTATACTTTAAAAACTAACTGAAATAAGACAGACGATGTCTTGGTATTTTATTCGATTCGAGATAGACTACGACAGATAAACATTTATAAATATTTAGAACGGATGTTGGGACAGCTTAATCGAATTATATGGCAGGATATAGGTTTAGTCTCTTAAGATAAAACGAATTAAGTAAAGAGAAATTGGAAGATTACTCCTTCAATTCATTAGTGAAAATGTAGATAGTAAGTTGCTTTCTGGTAAGAGAAAACTGGATAGATAAATCTTAAGCTGATCTATATATAAATTATAATAATTCAGATTAAATTAAATAGTCTTTTATGAAAGTTTCTAGATCTTATTATGTTTAAGTAATAAATTGCAGAAATTAAGTTAGTAGCTACAAAATTTCTTATTGTTAACATAAGAATTTAGGCAAGTAATGGGCATAGTCTCTACTTTTAAATTGCCTTTTACTGAGTGAAATAGATAGATCTCATGCTAAACTTAGGTATAATAAGTCAGCGATAACAGGTATTTAAATATATATTATTATTATATAAAGTAAAGACTGTTTAAATCTAATAAACAATGACTAGATTCAGTTTATATTCAAGATATTAAGCAAAATTAAATAGAAAATCACAAAAATAAAAATTAATCCTAATTCTTTACAAAGTTTCTCACATATCTCTAAACATTAGTTAACTATAAGTTATTTTAATAAAAAGAATTGTATTTGCTAGTAATTTAATTGTATTTTATCCTATTTTAAACGAAATCATATATCTAACAGTTAGTTCAAATAAAATTTTATGCCTATCCATTACTTTCAGGCTTTTAATCCAAGAAAAATAGTATCATTTCAGTAGCGAAATTTATCAATCTCTAAATATATTTTAACTCAGAAATCTTAAAAATAAGCATTATAAAGAATAAAAATGGATTTTTTTAAAAAAAGATCGAGTAGTTATATGAAAGGGGAAAAATGGAAAAAAATGAGGAGATTTATCGAAAAGATTGCCATTATTTCGATACAAAAAATATATCTTTAAAAATTGAATTTTTATAATAATTAAAGAAGCCATACTCTACTCCTTGACCCGAGACCACCCCTTAAATTATAATCAGTATTCATAATGAAGCATTTTTGCCCCCCGAATGATAATCGTTCATTATATTCTTTCAACTAAGACAACATTACAAATTCCGCATAAGAAATGTGCTTCTCCAAATTATCATAATCAAGTTCGTCATTGGCACGCATAATGTTAGCAAGAGGGTGATGAGCGCATTAAGATGCGCAGTGGAGAATCAAAATAAAAACACTAGAAATGGAGACGAACGGATTACAAAATCTCCCTCTTCAATGATATTTTTCCGTAACAAGAACTCTGTGGACCTTTAAACCCAGAGAAAATATATTTAATTTAATAACCGATAAATATATCACATTCTTATATATGAACGCACAAATTCTTTAAAAGATTAAAATATTTATTTATTTTTTTTTACACGTGTATTATTTAAGTTTTATATGATGATAAATCGTAACGAATATTCTTATACGATTATAATATTTTCTGTTTAAAAAACGTATAAATTTAAACATTTATTATTGTAAATAATAGAATAAAAAATGTATTATCTAGATAGAGATATCCAGAAATTGCATGAATATTACCACATTTTATCATGTCTTTTTTCAGCTTTTCAAATGTAAAAATTGATAATATTCCCTAGTTGAAATATTTTAAACATAGACATTTTTGTTCTCCATGAGATTTTTTAAAATATAATTAATTTTAAAAATTATTATTACAGCAAATTTGTGACTAAAATTATGGCTTTTTGGGTATATTTTCAAGATTTTGTTCATGAATTTCATTTAGTTTTTAACAAGAAAGCAACAATTACTTATTTTTAAAAGAAAAATGGTTTAAAAAATATATAATTTTATATAAAATATATGTAATTTTAATTCTTAATCGTAAATCTTACAATTTTCTAAGTGTTATTCGCCTTTACTGTACAATAATTAATTTAGATCTAAGCAGGATTAGGACCAACTTCACCTGCTATATAAAAATAATTGTTTAGAATATTAATTTAATGAATAAATACGGTGTTTATATCTCATTATTGTATACATAATTATTAACTCTTAAAAATATCTGAATAAGCAGTTTTTAATTTTGATATATTGTGTATTTTCACCATATATATAGCCAAATTTATGTAATATTTGAGTATTTCTGCGGGTTTCATGCCTGAAATTAAACGACTATAGGTTTTAATAAACGTTATAATAGGTTTGGTAGATTTTTTATTGGATAAGATCTGTAGAAATTCTTTTATATAAGTTAGGACTTAAGTTACATAAGTTATTTTAAAATTTTCGTTAAGGAATAAATGTTATAAAAATTGTCAGGATGCATGAAATAATACATTATTTTAGTTTTGTAAATTGGTAGAACGCCATTTAAAATTACATAATGGTTACTTTTTATCCTTATTTGTTGCTATTGTCCTTTACACAATATACATTTTTTTCTGAAATTTATTATAACTAACAGAATTTGTCAGATACGTGAAAATTCTTTACGTTTTTAATATTAGTCTGAATAGCTCAATACAGAAGTCTATTTGTCCCTTAGAAGTCTAAAAAAAATTAAATTTTATTCTATTTAAATAATAAAATTTGATTACATGTTGATAAAACATTTAAGATTGATTAATTTAAAAAAGTGCTTAATCTAATATTAATTATTTTTGTGAAGTTTTAGTTAACCAATTTTCAGTTTTCTACAAAAATACATAATATCGAACAATAGAAAAATGGCAGTTAGTCTTAGAAAAATCTGTTTTTTTAAGAATAGGAATTTTATTAATTAAAATTTTCTCACTTGGAATTGAATTAGACACTGTATAAAATCTAAATTTCAAGTTAATTTTTCAGTATAAGTTATATATTTGTCAAAAAAGGCTTGTTAGTTTGGATATTCAGAAATTAAAATTATTAGCCTAATCGGGAAAAAATTAAGCATTCTTAAGATCATATTAAGATTTTTTTCTCTCCTCGATTCAGTTTTAAAATTTTAAAGCAAGAAAACCCGATAAAATATTCTTAAATTCTTATTTTTTATCCATGTCTAACAGTCATTTTTATTTAAAAAATATATTAAAAAAATGACTGTTAGGCACGGATATAGTATAATTATTATTCAAGGCATAACTTATTGCAGATCTAATTTTTAAATCACGAAAAATCTACTCACCTTTATTTAATTTACAATTTTTCTTGTGGTTATTTTCCTTTCTTGTTAGTAGAGAGTACTTTTTAATACCAGACTAAGTTAATTTCTTTTCAGTTGTAGGTGGAATTTTTCATAAGAGGTTAAATCACCGATTCTTTATCCATGATTAAATTATTTTTATTTGGATTAAACGTCGAATTTCGCTGTAATAATTATTATTTTTTTTATGTAATTTATGATTATCCAAGTGAAGATGATTAAGCTGGTAGAAGTTAATTAAGGTAAACTGGGGGATGGAACTAAAAATAGATCAGAATAGCTCATAANTTTTTTTCTTTATAAACTGAAATATGTTCTGTCCGTTTAGTGAATTAATTTTCTGTTTTTTGAATAAATATATCGATTTTAAAATAAGGACTTTTTGAGAGAGAGAAAAAAATTATGCAAAACTTATTTTAGTCCAAAATTTTTCTATGATTATGTTTTTATTTCAATTTATAATCCTGAATTATGATCGAGCATATTTTGAAAATGCTATTTTTCATTCTTTAAAAAGTCATAAATTTATCTGGAAAATTTTTCATACAAAAGGTTTCCTTTACGAAAATATCCTATAAATGTTTCCTTGAAAAATCCTTAATTTATTTAAGGAAATTTTAAAATCGAAAAGAAAAATAGAAAGAATAAATCAACTTTGTTTGAGGAAACAATCGCTAAAATTTTCAAATATTTGTTTATCATAAAATCAATTTGTTAAACGCTTTAAAAAAATATACAAAGAAAATAAAAATTTTTTGATATGTTTTTCCTTAATCTTACTTTTTCCGATCCTTAAAATATATTTAAATAATTTACCAGTATTGTTCTGTTTTTAGAATTAAAAATATATCAAAATTTAAACTCGATAAAATAATTTAAATTCCGGTTATATATTCATAATAATGAAAAAAATGTTTATGAAATTTTGAATTTAAATCTGATGAAGTAGTTCTAATTTCTGCTTTTATTTTTTGTTGTTTTTTTAAATAAACAAACATTTGAATTATTTATTTTTAATTTTTTAAATTATTATTATCTTTTAAATTCTTAGTTTAAGTTATAATTTAAACTGACTGACATAAATTACTGTTATAGTAACAATAGTAATAGATGATTCTTAGTTTTAATGTATTATCATCATCGTCATCTAACAGCATAGTCCTACTACATCTCTGTCTTGTTATCCTTTCGATTGACATTCCTATCTGTTTTTGCATTTATAAATATCACGTAATATATCTTCAGCTACCTGTAAAGTATAGAATGGTCCAACATTTATACAATAGTAAAAAAAGATGGAAGTAAGAATAATATCATTTCCTTAAATTTAACAAAAAATCAATAAAATTGGACAGGAAAACATTGATTTAGCTTTAGTTTCTTCGTTGCTCGAATATTTTTATAAAAGGAAATGAATAAATCTATGAATAACTTACATCTTAGCGTAGCATGTTATAGAATAATTTCTTTTTAAAAAATTCGACTTTCTGTAATTTTACTGTATTTAATTCTAGTTAAAGGCGTTGATACATATATATATATATTGGATGTCTGAAGAGGCACAACCGAGAAGAAACGAGTTAAAATTTGGTATTAACGGATGTTTAACGAAGTAAATGGCTTCATTTTGAAACGGTTAATTTCGTTCTCGATACGTAAAACGGCATTGTAGGAGTTTATAAGTAAAATCTGCATAAATAAATCTTGTATCGGAACGACGCAAATTGCTTGATTTAGACGATTTCGTGGCTGTAAAGAAGGTAGAAATCTGTATTGGAATGATGTCAGTTTCTGTGTTCAGGCAAATTTATGGTTGTAAAGAAGCATGCAAATTACTAACTAGAGTGATATCGACTTAAACGATTGAGTTTGGTTAACCATCTGCCAATATGGAAACAAAAGAAATGGCGTTAATTAAAATTAATAAAAATAATTTAACTCCTTCCAACTTCGTGCTTATACGTATGGCACGGTTGTTATCGTAGCTATTCTTAACTCTGTACTATATTTGTTGAGCTGTATATTTTCACCCTGAAGCTAAATAAACATTTTGAACATTGACATTGGAGCGTGTTTCCTGTGATATATTTTTATCAACACAACTTAACGGCGGATTACGTAATTTAACATGGAGTCGGCGGGAGAAACATATATATACGTATATTTCTATATTATTAAATGTCAATTGTCGTATGTGGTTATGTCCGTTTTCGCTACCAGTCAACCCAACATGGCTGCCGTCCTACAAATCAATACATCCGTTTTCGTACTCGTACTGCTGTTGCTAAAGGGGTGCGCTAATTTTCCCAATCTTCGTTAAACACGGAGAAAGCTATGGCGTTGTGTCGGCGACGGGTTGAGAAGGGTAGGAGGAGGTTGACGTCACCTGATTGGTTGGAGCAAATTACTGCTGTTAATTGGCGCCTCTCATCCAATGGTGGCAGCGTACAACAGCAATTATCATGTCATTGACCCAAATCAAGGCGTTTGAGTCATTTCGTTAGTCTTATCTCTAGTGAGCGGTTCTGTCCGTCGTCAGCTACAGAAGACACCCTTACGCAACTAACCAGGTGATTTCTAAATCCTTTCTTTCTCTATCGCTCTCTGTCTGTCTTGTATTCAAACGAGCATGCTTACTAACGGATCTTAATTAAATTGAACGGATCATAAGTCAACCGGTTATGGCGCCCGTGGCCATGAGAAAGGGTTGCTAGCAGCTGGACCGGATGCTGGCGGGATCTTTTTTTTTAGCTTTTTCTCATGTCCACCTTATTCTCTCTATATCTGCTTCTGCTGCTGCTAACTTCCTGTCTGTCTATATCCCCTTTCAGGCCCAGACGGGAACCCAAGGGGCTCCGCGCCGAGGGCAAAGGATTGAAGCAAGGTGCGTACTTCATTAATCATGCACCAGAGGAGCAGGGGAACTGTATTTTTTTTTTTTTTTTAATAGGCGCTCGGCTAGTCTGGCTTCTTTTCCCCCAACACCCCTGACCGACGGGTGCAGTGGCAAAAAACTCTATCCAGACAGCGTCTGTCTGGTTTAACAATGGCGTCTGCTACCCTCTCTCTCCCCTCATTCTCCGTCATATGGTTGGGTGTCGGGAAAGGGTGACAGCCGTCTGCCGAGTCTACATCTTGTTATACTGTTAGTGTTAAGCCATAACACTAACACTAATCTTGAACTGGAAGATTTTTTGACATCTTTATATATATAAGAAAAAAGTTGGACTCTAACCCCTTTGGCCAAACAGCACATTTTGTACGTGTACATCGTCGGCCTAGTCGAAATGATTATATTCTCTCGAATATATATCGAATGATTTTTACAACATAATTAATATTTTATAAATAAAGATTTTAAGTGGCGTAATATTCGTTATATTCAATTACAATAAACAAAAATATACACAAAACTTTGCATAAATAATCAGTTACGACGTAAATCGAGGCGAAACTAGACATATTTTCATAAAATATAATAATACTTTTTGATTTTCACCATCGATACCGACATTTTTATTCTTAAACAACTTTGGTTTTGACATTAGTTTTATCACTTGTCGGCGGTTTGTCCGTCGTCAGCTACAATGGAACGTTGGTGTATAAAGGAGTAACCACACATCACGAACGTAGTAAAAACTCTATTCAGCCAAACGCAATACAAACACATCTTTGCATCACGTATAAATAATACTATATGATCATTTTTGAGAATTAACAAAGCCATTTATAGGAATCGTGTCTTCAAATTTAACAAAATAGATTAGACGATATATCAAACAACATTTTTTCGTACATTGAATATCAATTTTTAATAAAATGCATACAAAATAACAAAAGGTTAAACATACAGTACCAAAAAATAAATAAATAAATATATAAAAAAAACATCAACTCGAAGCGAATATAATAATCCTTTTGCTTGGGAAAGTCATTCATATCGAATATAATCTATGAGATCTGTGACGCGTGATTATCTGTTTCTTATGAAAATTTCGATTTAAATTTTAGAGAATATTTATTTTCGATAGATAAGTTCGCCTCCAAGCTATTTCTCGAAAAGATCTTTATAAGTAAATCACTTGACACCAATTACTTGGATGTATGTCCGCATCCGTTAACTTTATATAGGCTTACCTGACACATGCCTATGAAATGCCTCGACACAAACGTGTTCGTCAATTCGGCCTACATCATTTGAAATTAAATATAAAACTGAGTAATAACTTGATTAACAGTGTTCTATTTTAAGTTTCAGTTCACAAAAACATAATTTTATTAAATTTATAGTACCAATTCTATTAACGTATCCAGCTTCTAACGTGATACTAGACTTAAGATGAATATTGGTTAAAATTTATTACAGAAAAATCTTACGTTGCTAGTTTTAGAACCAAGACGTGAACACCAAAATTAGCAATAAAATATCAATGTATAACTTAGTTTTATTTAATTTTATAATAAAAATTTTAAACATCCACAAGAATTTCCGAAATTAGATCAAGTCATTTCAACTTTGTAAAAAAAAAAAGAAAGGGGAAAGAACATGTAGGCCTACCAGAGATTTTTTTAATTAAAATGAATTTCTTTACATTAAACATATCACAAATTTATATATTCTAGTTGATAAAAATATCAAATTGTACTGTACACTTGTTATAATCGTGGAAAAAAATACATATTAATACATATTTTCTTATCGTTGTCAATTTATTTTCATTATTTCTTTATTTAATTTTAGAAAGAATTCGTCTTTATCGTATCGACAGTAAAACACAATTAATTGCCCTTTTGGAAAGTGGTAAAGTTTTTATGTAAAAGTATAGAGTTTTACGGCATAGATACAGTCGAATAATCAAACTATTTTTTTGATGATTTCTTCCGAAAGTTATTAATGATATGCGTATTAATCATTTTAGTTTATACTTTCCCCCATTTGATTAAATTTTAAGTTTTGCAATAAAATTTCAATAAATCAATTTTTTTTTTACTTTACACGCCTATTGCGGTATTATTACATTGAGAATTTTGGTCTATAAATAACGAGATGTTATGAAAAGATTGAAGTGGAAAATTTTTATATCTTTTTCAATTTTTTATTTATTTTTAATAATTAAGAAATGATTTATAACGATAGAAACGCACTCGGATAATTCAAAATTCCAAAGAAAAACCCTTCAAGATTTTTTCCCTTCATTTACAACTTGAATATGGCGCCATTTTCGAGCAATTCGTGATAGTTTCAACAATGTTTTAATGTAAGAATAGTACATCTGTAATGTTTACAGAGTTCAATGACTCATAAAATCATCCAATCTCCTCATGTATCCACATTGGATCCTATCAAATTCGTATTTGATCCATGGATACGTTCGTCTTTTTTCTTTTTGCAGTAATATATTTTAATATGTTGGCCTATTCTTCGTTAAAATTCGCCCATTTTTAATATACAAATTCCTCTAATATAAAATTAAAATTGGATTCATAATAATGGTTTGCTGGTTTTAAATCTAAATTTTTTGGATGTAGTTTTTAAAAGGCAACATATAGCCTTAAAATTAACAAAACAATATTCTGAAAAGTTACAAAATGGTCATGAATATTGATATCAAAGAACCAATATGTCTTTGGATAAAAAAGCATCTAGTTCTAAAGAAATATCAAGTATAAAAATTAACATTACACTTTAATTAGATATATATATGTTTTAAATATGGTCTCTTAATTCTTACATACATAAGATTTGAGTTAAATCTAAAAATATTTAACATCATATTCACATCGATGGCACTTTTACCATATACAGGCCGATCTCCAATAGGATTTTCTTCTATCTCCAAGTGTATTACGAGTTATCGAACCGGGTAAGTAATTAACAATTTTTGAAATTTTATCTCTGCTATTAGTAATTTTAAACTAGAACAGTACTAATTTTAAACTAGAATAGTCCTAATTTTAAGTTGTTAGAATTTCCTGTTGGGTAATGTTAGGCTTATTACGAATTGTCGAATGGACTTTCTTATAATAGGATCGGTTATAAACAAATTTAAGTTTTGGATTATACAAATTATGAAGCTTGTTATATAAATCTATTTTTCTGGAGTATTATTTTAAAGAGACTTAAGAAATTGTTCTGTTGAACATCAGTTCGTCCATTCATTCTTATCATTAAACATGTTCTGTGTCCTTTATATGTCTCCTAATGCATTTGTTCCATAACTCTGTGATGGAATTACAGATAATTTTCTTCTATTACAATCCTAGGTTGAAATACAACATGCGCTTCAGTTATATGCGATCGATATGACTAAAAATTCTAAAAATGACAGGCTTACAAATCATTGGAAAGGTTATGTTGTATAGATTTTTTTAAATACTTTTTGTTTCAATAGTCTTTTGTTGTCTGCAATTTAGTTAAGTTCTTTTCAATGGCAGTTTATATTATCTAGACATTTTTAGCCAAGTTTATAACGTAGGAGTTCGAAAAATACTTTCTGATTTACAAAAGTATGTTGTTTATGGATCATAGTAGGTTGTTTCTTGCAAAAGTAATAGAAAAATCTCTAATTTATTATTTTGGCCTGTGAATTATTGAGCTTTTCTTGTTTGTTTTACTCGGAAAACTAACTTTAACCCGTTACATAGATACTCAGCTACTGACTATCATTCGTAGATAGCCTTAACTGAGTAATATAGACATTAGATTAGTATTGGCATGAAGTACTAATCTATAATTTATCTTCAGAACTGGTTATAATATGAAAAATGAATTACCAAATATCTATTAAGTAGTATATTTAAGAAAAATAAAAGCAATATAATAGATTAATCAAATTGTAAATACCGTGATATTAATAACTAGAATTCTAGGTATCGACCTGAAAAAAAGATGTGTGTTTACCATGCTAAAAATGTAAACATATTCAAATATTCCTACAGTAAAATAACAGAACAACTAGAAATCTATATCTATATATATAAATTTTCGATTTTGATCAAACAAAGTGACCTACTACAACTTATGAATTATTTCAGTTGGCAGAACAGTAGAAAGAAAAGTAAAAACAAGAGATTTAATTACTATTTAACTAATATTTTCAGTAACAAATTAATTGCGGTTTCTGATAATTTCTTTACAAATTGAATACAATCAGCAGCTCTAACGTCTTTAATAAGAAAAGAAAGTAACAACGATGCTACTTCTGGGAAAAACAAGGCGTTTGCAAACGTTTTAAAATTGATGCCATAATTGGAAGGCGTTACTTTCCTAATCGTAACTATTGTATTTAAAGTAGGATTTTTATGTCTATTTAACAGTTGTCTATTGTGAAAAGGTCTCTTAATAGCAACCGGTTACATTCTTTTCGGTCTCTTGTCTATCCCTTTTCCTATTATATAATTCTAAGAAAGCAGATAGTTATCTCGGAACAGTTTGATCTTTTTAATTGAAAAGTTCCCTTCAGAAATTAGTGAAAGGATAATTCCAAAACTAAAAATGAGCTTATATAATATGTTTGAATATAATCGCAGGATTTACTTCTTAATTTCGCCGTATTTTTCAATGGAGATTACAAAGGGTCACTTAAACTTCATTTAAAATGTAAGTTCTAACTAAAAAAAATAACCAAAAAAAATAAATAAATAAAAATGTAGCATCCTTCTCCTCTTCGTTTCAAGAAGCCGTTACGACGTTTCCTGTTCATCATTGTTTATTCTTCACTAATTATTCTATAAATTATGAAACAGTAACAATAATAATAAAAAATTTCAACTAGAAAATTTGACTATTTATTAATAATTTATTAGAAAAACCTTTAAAGCTTCCACGTACCAAACTGTTAAGGTAAACAATACCATCGAGATTTGATATAGTAAAACGCGATTGTTAAAATTGTACCCAATCGTACGGATAATATAAACAAATTAGCTAGGTTAGATAGAAGTAATTTGATTATCTTAAATATAAAAAAACATAATTTCAAAATATTCAGGTAGAAAATCCAGACGATTTTTTTTATCTTTTCCCCCCTTCTCTCTCTCTCTCTCTCTCCACTCCCCAAGCCAGACAGTGAGGCCCATGGCTACATGGAAGGGTTGCAACTGTCTATTCACTCCTTTATGTACAATACGCATATTATGTGGGGAAAAAAAGCAAACCCCTTTGAATGTATCGATCAGACTCTCGCTGAGTCATGGCTGTTGGTCTGTAAACCCTTTTCTATACCAGCATTGGTTCATTGCTGACTCATCATATCAATGTAGATCTCAAAGGGTTAGGCAATAGAATCGTCTGTCTGAGTCTGCATCATCACTACTTATTGGTAATAGTTTTTTTTTTTTTTTTTAAATCTAACTTTCTTCTATAAACATATATTTTTTACGCAAATGTTTGATTCGCAACTTATTTATAGACTATCAAGTCCTGGAGACTAAAAAAGAAAATATATGTATATATTCAAATTTATATCTATAACTATCAAAATTATCTCCAAACGTTCTGGACTTTTAAGCTATTTTTGGCATCACTTATAGGCCTACTTTTAAATTTGATGTTTTGAAAAGAGATATGTTTAAAGAATTCGTTTTAAACAAATAAAAAAAATGGACTTTTATTCATTACAAAATATATTATCCTTTAAAGATTATAAAAATCTTCCTTAAAACTTTTAATCAAATTTTATTCGAGTTTAGTTTTATTTTTAAAAATAAAAATTAGGCAAAGAGTGTTATTAATTCATCATAAAGATGGCGTCGAAAGGATTTGTATTGTTTAGAACTACTATTCCATCCGAGTAATAAAATCGTTTACTATCTGTATCAATACTAATGAAATAAGTTGCTGTCAATCCGGAATATTTATAGCATTCTTCTAGTCTTCTTTAGGGAGTCGTTGTATGCATAAACCGATTTTATTGATCAATACCATCTAAATATTAGTAATGTAGAAGATAAAATTGAAAAATATTACTTAGTTGAAACTATAGAATATTTATATTTTCAAAAACAGTAAATATTACTGTAAATATTTAAAACTTAATTTATTATTTAAAATAATCAAAAAATAAGAAAACTTATCCTATATTATAAGGCTATATAAACATTATATAGGCCTGTTCAACAAATTTTTTAAGCCGATAAATTTAATTGAATAAAATAAAAATAAAATATTCAGGATTTTGTTAAAATTACCTGATTAAATCTATCTCGGGTTAAGTAAAACTCATTTTTATTTTATTATATATTAGTTAAGGAAAAAATTCTATGTCCTGTAATAAGTAGTTTATCAATTTAGAAAACAGTAAAAAATAAAAATAATAATAATAATAATTTAATAAATTAAATACATTTTTATTTATTTATTGCATTTCCTTTTAAACTTATAATAGTGCCCTTTAAGAAGGAATAACCTAATATTTTTGCCATCAAAACTTGTTAGATAAAAATTGTTGCAGGCCAAAATCAAAGCCGATGTATCATTAAACGCGATTATGATAAAATTATATATTTTTACGAGCTTAAAAAAAGGCAATTTTAAAACTTTTAAGAATTAAGTTTCTTTTAATTGTAAAAAAAAATTTCATGTTAGAAGCAGATAATAAATTTTAATCAAAGAGAAATGATGGAGGATGTGATGCATTAATGTAGTATAGGCTACTCCTTACTTGATGGAATGCATAGGATATATCTCAATAGTGGGGTGTGGCCCTGTAACAATCTAAAAATCTCAATGATCGAAGATAATTTTTATTTTAGAGAAAAATCTCCGCTTAATAACATTAATTTTTATTCGAAAATATATATTTTATATCCATCATCAACTCATACCTATTATAGAACAGTTTTTTTTTTGTCTGTAGTTTAAATGTCAGTAGGCTAAATTTTCTATAACTAACTTAAGATTAATATTCAATTTTTCTATAGGCCATAAATAAACATAATTGTTAATTTTACATCTGTGTATTAAAATTATTCTGATATACATCACTATTTTTTTCATATTATAATCGAGCGATATGTAAATTATGCTACATATAGTCTATAATCAATAATAAAATTCAATTTAATGCAAAAATTTGAATTTATAAGTCTAAAAAAACTACATTTTAATTCTGTCCTGTTTATACAAGACACTAAAAATAAATTATTAACATCGAATTTTATATTATTAAATGAATAAGTTTAGACTAATCTAATGACGTTATCTTTAATAATAGGCTTTTTTTAATATTATTTTTAAAGAGATTGGAGATTTTAATCAAAGTAAAAATTGTTTTTGATTAAAAAAGAACTGAAATTTGGTTCTGGTTTTCTAAATTTTGATAAATTTGTCAGTAACTGATTTTTTTGACTTGAGTTATTATTAGATACAAAATTTTAAATTTAGACCTAATATATATATCTTATTGCAGAAAATACCAAACCCTTTTAACATTTGTAACTGTAGAATCTTATAATTGTTATAAACAGAAAAAGTATGTTTAAAATTAGGATAAATTATGATTTAAATAGGAACTTAAAGAAAACTTCAAACGATCTAAATACTCCAATCTTTTGATTTTGATTAAAAAACATTAATAAATATTTAAATGTTGCTTTAATGTTTTGATAAAATAATATTTCTTCCGTTTATATGGAAAATTTTTCCTTATTCTAGCATAGCGAGAAAGGCTAAGGGACCATAAGCTCAAGAAAGAATAATTATAATAAAAAAAATTATAAAAACTGAATTTTCTTTTTATCAATTTTAATTTAAATCTGCAATTTTTTGTTATTTTGATGTTTCTGTTAAGAAAATATAAGAACTTATACTTGTATAACTACTTTAATTTAAGTTTATTTGTTAGACCTTATCAAACTTAATTCC